CAATCGTTCTCTTAGATTTGTTTTCATGATAATTGAATGTAAAGAGTTTTATTTCTAAAAACTGTTTAGTGTATAATTTTACTACTGGGGGCATTTACTAAGTAAAAAGAAATCGCTAGTTTATACCACTATCAAGGCTCAAAATAGCCCCACACTAACACAGTAATGAGGGTCCATACATGCAAAACGAAGCATTGAGAACTTTGTAAGTGTACAGACCGTTTAATAAGAAGATATTTTATAAAGACCGTTCACTTCGCGTATACAGACAAGAGCCATCGTGGAAAATAGTCTCGATAAGTCGATCCCCGAACGTCGTGCTGAGTGAACTGAACTGTAGGCGTTCGGGGATCGACTTATCGAGACTATTTTCACCAAAATTTTCACCAAAAGGTTCTTTTTTGCGCCGGAGTTCTCCTTTAAGACAAAGAAACACATGTGAAGTCTATGAAAACAGAAACTAACTGAACATTAATGTGACAAGGTCATCCGGGTACTTTTTTCATACTGTTTTTCAAAGGATACTATGTATTCGGGCATGCAACTCCGTTGGCTTACTATTTTTTGTATACTATATAGTAGCAAAGTATTCGATTTTGGACGCAGAAATACCTTTTTGTACTTAAAATAATGGTGCAAATACCAGTGACTACTACAAACCTTAGTAAATCATGTTTCATGATTCATTTAAATACTCCCATAAATGTTGCGTCTGAAGGGAAAAACGTAATCGGCTGTCGACTGTCCACACCTTTTCAGAGCTAATTTTTCACTGCTTGTCTTTAGTCAATCCTGACTGTAGTGTTTTAATGTAAAAAAAAAAAGGTTTGTGCTGGTGAAAGTTGTTAGTAGATCTTACCCTTAAACTGAGCAAATTTAACGCATTGTGCTTTAGTAATTCAATTCTGACTAAAACCCCTCTGGCTAGACTCTCATGAACTTCCTGTGGTTCGGCAAGACGTTAAAAGACTCCATCGACGCCCCTGTGGTGTTTGTGGACTCCAAAAACATTCTCAACTTTGAGCGCGTGTTTGACAAGGTAAGTAGACACAGTCTAAGTGTCCCTGTTGTAAATTGTTTGTAAAGGATCAAGTGATATTTTTTGAGCCGCTTACATCTCTTTTCTTCCTCAGATAGTTTTGGAGTCACTTAACAAGATTGGACACACAGTCAAAATCCCACAGATGTTTTATAATGTGGTTAATGCAGTATCAAAGGAAAACAACTGCATAGAGGCTGTATCTGACTCGCGGAAAAATGGAAAAGCTGCAGGGTATTGACCTGGAGTGCAGCGGGAGACTAATTCACACCAGATCTCTCAACTCTGGTTGACACATCTGTGTCGCGTGTGGATGAAGTAGACTGTGAGGATGACAAACTGACAAAAAATCACAGCAAACACCATCAAAATGTGATGTTTTGACATTTTAATGTGAAAATTATGAATGAAATATATGTGTGTGTGTATATACACAGTTTACAGTATGTTATTTTATCATGTGTGACTACTTTAGGGGCACATTTTAAAAAAATTACTGTGTACTACAAAACTTGTATAATATGAGTAGATTTGTGCAGTAACACTTTACTTGAATGGGTGTGCATAAGACTAACATGACACCTTTATAATCATGAAATGACACATGTTATGAATATGAAGTTTTATGCATGTTTTTGACAACTGTGATTAAGTTTCATTCGCTGAGTTATCACATTTTTAATGCAAATATGGCATTGTTTGAGATGTCTTTGTTATGACACCTTGATATAAACCAATACATCATAACCTGTCAGTGTCTTTGTCATGACATCTTGACATTACTAAAACAACACAACCTGTCATAAACATGACATAGCAGATTAATTATCAAACTTAAGAAACCGTCTAGCTTTATTGGTTAACAATATAACAATTGGAAGCCATTATAACATTTTAACAACAAAGACATCTTAAACAATGTTATATTTATATTCAAAATGTCATTATTGAGTGAAAGACACTTAATGACAGTTGTCATAAACATCATATTCAAGACATATTTTATGTCATGGTTATGAAGGTGTTATGTCAGGCTTATGCACACCCCTTCAAGTAAAGTGTTACCATTTGTGCCATCTAAAAGGGCAAATATACAATACTGTCTGGAGGATTGTAAAAATATTTACAACTTTGTGTTCATCAAAGATTCTTGAAAATGCCACATTGTCTGGTTTGTGGTCCCTGGGTTTTCACTAGAGGTCTCTTCCCCTGATCGTCACCACCTCATTATGAACTGCGTTTCCCATAATCCTTTGTCTGAACTCATCACTGATCATTGCACACAGCTGTTCCCACTCACATTGTTTGTATCTGTCTATTTATACCTTGTCTGTTTCTGTGATTGTCATCGAGTCCTTGTTTAACGTCAGGTCACACCTTGGAGTTCAAGTCTTGTTTTTGGACTGCGTGTATGGATTTTGACCGTTTTCCTGGCTGACTATTAATATGGATTACCCATTAAAACTGCAATTGGATCGCACCCCTTTGTGTGCGTGTCTTGACAGAAGGATTTGACCAGAATGAATATCTTGTTGAAAGACATTCTTTCATCAGAATGAATGTCTTTTTAGGGAACCCATCTAGCCATATTCTCTGGGACTCGTGGAGGCCGCAGGAGAGGAGGTGGTCGATATGGTGGAGACCCCATCGCCTTTCCCCACTACAACCCCTCTTCAGCCCTGAACCAGTGCTGTCCAGTGGCTTCGAATCCTTGATGTCCAGCAGTCCCAAGCCCTGTCATTCTGGAGGCTGTCCCTGAGCAGCCCGCTGTCATCCCGGAGAACGTTCCTGAGCAGCCCGCTGTCATCCCGGAGAACGTTCCTGAGTGGCCCGCTGTGGCGCTCGTAGAAGCGGAGAGCATGATGCCACCGTCTCGCCATCAGAGACGGAGAAGGAGGAAGCAGGCATCTTCCGTACCGCAGGACCCTAGAGTTCTCTTCCCCTGATCGTCACCACCTCATTATGAACTGCGTTTCCCATAATCCTTTGCCTGAACTCATCACTGATCATTGCACACAGCTGTTTCCACTCACATAGTTTGTATCTGTCAATTTATACCCTAGGCGTTTCTCAATGTCAAGGAAGGATCCTCGGAAGCCGGAATTTCGAGGATGCTACGTCATCGACGTCCGTCGAAGGACTGTTCCAATGTCGAGGATCCTCAGAATTTCAACCAAGGACTGAGTCCTTCGTTCGGAAAATATCCCATACACAGGAAAGGATGCATATGTGTAGCCTTCGCGCTCTTAAATCACCCACAATCCTATGCGCAGCTTTGCTATCTTGTTCAAAAAATAAAAAAATGTCGACCGTTAGCGGAGTCGGAGTGATAACGGCAATATGCTTTCAAATGTAAGCAAGTATAATTTCAGTTTAGCCATTTATTTAATGTTTGTTAAACTATTTAACATATCGGCTCAAATTTGCTGAGGGGATTTAAAGCTGTTCCCTTTTACTGGTGATTAACTTTTTAATTTTTACTT